CTCTAGTTTTGAACTCCCCTACCCTGGGGAAGAAAAAACCTTGGCTATTCACTTTATCTATGCTCCTCATGATTTTACAAACCTCTACAAGGTCACCCCTCACCCTCCTATGCTCCAGAGAAAAAAAGGTCCCAACCTATCCAGCCTCTACTTATAACTCAAATCCTCCAGTCCTAGCAACATCCTTGTAAATCTTTTTGCACGCTTTCCAGTTTAATAATTTCCTTCCGATAGCAGAGCGACCAGAATTGTATGCAGTACTCCAAATGTGGCCTAACCAATGTCCACTTTCAATCTAATGGAACTTTTCCAGAATCAAATGAATTTTGTAAAATTAACCTTAATCATTAGCCATCTCTTTTAATATCCATCAGGATTCAGAGACTTAACGACCCATAGCTTCATCAGTTTGCTTACTACCACTTCTCCAGTGATTATAATTTCTCCAAGCTTCTCTCTTCCTTCAACCTCCAGATATACAGGTATTTATAGGATTTATTTTAACCTTGATAGCAAAGACAGAAGCAAAACATTTACTCATTACATTTGCCATTTCTTTGTTATCTATTATTAACTCACCATTCTCACGCTTAGGAGGACCAAGACTCACTTTACTTACTCTTTAGATACTCCTACAGAAACACTTGCTGTCTATGTGCTTTTACATTTCACAATAGCTTTCATTCATGCTCTAATTTATTTGCTCTGATTAATCTTTTAGATATTCTCCACCATGTTTTGTATTCAAACCAATCATTTGATCTGCCACACATCTCTACACAAATGTATGCTTTTTTCTTCCATTTGATGTTCTCAACTTTTTTAGTTAATCAGAGATGGTGGGCCCCCCGTTTGATTTTTTTATTTATAGTATAAATGTACTAATTATGAGTATTCTGAAATATACCTTTTATTGTCCGCCAATGTGGTCTATGTTCAAGCTTAATATTCCAGTTCACTTCAGCTATTTTAACTTCCACAACCACATAGTTATGCTTTTACAAATCTAAAATACTGCTCTTCTCCCTTTCAAACTGGATGTAAAATTCAAACATATTATGTTGCTTGAGGTGACTTTAGTCCAAGATCGTTAATTAATGCTATCACATTATACATTATGAACACTGGTACAGCCTGCTGTCTAACTAGTTCAGGAATGTTGCTGCCAGAACCTATCTTGAAAGCATTTTACTGTGACAAATATGATTTTTCTATTTTATATGTAAATTAAAATCACCCATAATTATAGTTGTCCCCCTATCACTGTCCTCTTCTTGCTTCCTGTACAATGGTGTTATGGCCAATTAGCCCATCCACCCTGCAGTCCTTACGCTCATCCAAACAAGCTGAGAAAATTTCAAACAGGTTGGACAATGCAAAGTCTGAAGCTCAGATGCTCCTGTCCTCTGGGCCCTCATATGGCCTCATTTGCATTCATACCTACTTGCTCCTAACCACTAAAAAAATTAGAAGATCTTGTCCTAAGATATGTGATCACCATCTGGAATAGTGTCTAGGTGACTTTCTCACTCCCACAGTGTCTCCATCTCAATACTTCTTGAGATGAAAGTCCTGCAGCCACAGGCACCTCCTACAGATGTGCTTTCCTTGGATCACATCAGCATCCAGAAACTCCCATATTCCGTAATCACAGCAATCACCCACACCTACTCAAATATGTGTTAATTTATTAGCACTTCTTAATTCATTAAGTTATACTTAACACAATCTACCCCTCAAAATATGTTTTAGCACTGCCAGGAAATGTTACAATACTGATGAAAAAATGCAATACTTACAATACTGATAAAACTTACAATACTGATAAAACTTAGTCTCTAACAATACCAGTTATGGATTTATCACAGTTATTGTTACCAATCTGTTGCACAAAATTGGAAATCAAATGCTGGAGGCTGAACCAACATATCAGTAAAAAAGAAACACCCTCTCCCCACCCTTCATTAAACTCCACATTCTACAGTTTATTCATTGCAGTCAGCTTACTTCAATAAACTTTTCTGTTCAAGAGAGGTTGTAAGGACAATCCCTGCAGTTACAAGCCAATCAATTTAGCTTCAATGTTGGGGATGTTTTTAGAAAACAATTATTCCAGATAGAATTAGTTGTCATATAGAAAAGGTGGGTTGGTAAGGAAGAGTCAGCATGAATTTCTAAAGGGAAATTATGTTTAACTAACTGGCTATAGTTTTTTGAAGAGATTTCAGAAAGGCTGTATGAGTGTAACACTGTTGATGCGGTATAAGTAGATTTCTAGAAGGCGTTTGATACAGTGCCACACAACAGACTTGTGAGGAAAGTTACAGGTCATGGTACAAAAAGGACAGTAGCAATGTAGATACAAACTGTGTGACAGGAAACAGAGTGTAATAGTCAATTGATATTTTTCAGGTAGCAAGAAGATTTGTAATTAATTTCCCCAGGGGTTGGTATTGGAATCCTTGCTTTTCCTGATATATATTAACGATCTGGATATTGGGGAACAATTTCAAATGACCACAAAATTTAAAAGAATTGTAAATTGTGAGGAGGATAGGGTGGGACTCCAAAACAACATCGGTGGAGTGGGTAGCGACAGGTGTCAAATGAGAAATGTGAGATCATGCACTTTGGTAGGAAGTATATTGAAAGATAATGCAAAATAGAGGTAAAACTCTAAAGAGTGTGCAGTGCAGACATACCTGGGTGGATGTGCGCATGGATCATTGAAGGTAGGAGGACAGGTGGAAAATAAAGCCTACAGTGTCAATGTCTTCATTATACGTACACAAGAGCAAGGAAGTTATGTTGGACTTGTACATGACACTTATTAGACCTCAGCTGGAGTATTGTGTACAGTTGTAGTCACTACATTTTAGGCAAGATGTAAATATATTGGAGACACTGCAGAACAATTTGCAAGAATGGTTCCAGTAAGAGAAACTTCATTTATGAGGACAGACTGGACAAGAAGGCTGAGAGGAGATTTGATAGCGATTTCCAAAATCAGAAGTGGACTTGATAGATTAGATGATAGTTCCTGCTTATAAAAGGAACAAGTATGAGAGGGCATAGATTTAAAGTGATGTGCAAAGCAAGGCTGAGGTGTAAAAAAAAAAATCTTCTTCACACAGCAAGTTGCTAGGGTATGAAATACACTGTCTGTAAATGTGATGGAGACATTCAAGGGGGCATTGGATGATTATCTGGATAGAAATAGTGTATAAAGGTGTGGAGAACAAACAGTAAATTGGCACTAATTAATGATGCTCATTTGAAGAATGGCCTCCTTCTAAATTGGAACATTTTCATGATTCTGTGATACCAAAGCACTTTTTCCTCCATGCACCCAAATTCCTACTTTGAACCAAATTTCAACTTTGAACCAAATTCCCTGATATACTCACTTGGCCATTGTCTCACTCAGGCAAAATCTCCCTCACATTAAATATTCATGACTGCTTAACTTTTTAAAAGAATGATGGGAATGGTTGCTTCTTCCTTAAGCATTATCAGATCAATTGTAAATCAATCTGAAAGATTTGCCACCTCCAATTAGGCTGTGTAAATTTCAAAATACAAATGCTCGGCACATCAGTATTAATTCTTCTGCACATTTTAAAAACAGGGGCATTATTTCATTTATTCTAATCTGGTTGCTATCGTTTAAAATAACAAAGGATTGTTGTTTGTATCATAGAGTGTTATAGCTTTAAAAACTACATTTTAAAATTTTTCTGTATTTGATTGTGCACTGAAATGAAAAAAAGAAACTGTTTTATAACCAAGAGTGCAGAAGGACTGCATGCTTTTGAAAGCAAGTAACCTGACACTCGTTGTATGCATGATTTACACAGCAATAGTACGAGTAGGTGCAGAAGAGTAAGAGCCAAGGATGCATACAAATGGAGATTCGGACAGCAACAAGTTGCTGATTGCTCTGTGGACTAGAGCCAGTTTTTGATGACAATTTGCCTGTCAACAACCATATGATTGATTCTCAGGCAGCTGAACAGCTTGCGGCTGTGAAGAAGATAGAGAGAAGCTATCAAAGCTCCATTCACCCAGGAGCTCTTTCTACAGTAAAATCTACTTCAACCCTGAAGAAGATTAGATTTCTTTTTCTTCAGCAGTTGCTGTAAGCTGTGACTTTTAATTAATAAGCCAGTGACCAGCTACTCTGTGCCTACTGAAAACCAATGGAAGCTTCCAGTGAATAAAGATGAAAAGCAGTGCAGAAATATGATCATTACAAAAATGATCGCAGCAGATGTTGTGAACAGAGACCACTGAACTGTTTTCCAGTTTTTTCCTTCACCCAATACACCCTTTCTTTTCTGTCAAATTCTGTCTGTGTGTGCCTAAGGGAGAGTTTATAATAGGTTAGAGCTTTAGCGAGTAGTGTTATATGAAGACAATTCATAATTATTCACCAGTGGCTGGAGCCTATTTACTTGTAAAACAAAATCATTGTTAAGTATAAATACCTGACCTTATGCTTTCTGTCAACATGAGTTGATAAAACAGATAAATTGAGGAATTCTGCCTCTTTTTAAAAATCTTTAAAGTGAGGCTTGATTTTCAGTACAAAAAATGAAAAAACTGCGGATGCTGTAAATCAGGAACAAAAAGAAAGTTGCTGGAAAAGCTCAGCAGGTCTGGCAGCATCTGTGAAGGAAAAAACAGAGTTAACGTTTCGGGTCCGGTGACCATTCTTCAGATTTTCAGAATGCTATCAGAGGCATAACAGAGCACAAACAGGCCATTAAATTCACAACCTTTATCTAGTTGCTTTGCCTTATAACTTGAACATCAATATTGCTCCAGTATAGTAAAAATAGTGAATTTTAAAGGCTCTGAACTGCAAATCTGGTATTTATTTGTCATAAGATTTTTTACTGAAGGTATGAAATCAGTAAGATTTTCTCTGGACAATTAAGTTATATAGAGATACTTCTGTGAATTTTACAATAAAATGAAGATTGATTCATGCTTCTCACCTTCTATCAGGGAGGATTGGCACTCTCCATCCTTTCACTTGACTTAGTTTGCCATCTGACAATTCAATCTGCAGAGGAAGTTTTGGTACCCAAACTGTCAACTCCAGTGGGGCACTCAAGTGCTCATAGTTGAAAATAATCCGGGCATTCATTGAGCCTCGAGATTCCTTGCCACTCACAAACACATAATCACAACCTTTGGAGACCTGTGGGAATATAAAAATATTTGAATCAAACGAATTACTCAGCAAGAAGAGTTTTGGACCAAGTCACTAAATTACAGCCCTGAAGAATCCAAGAATCAATCATGATGTAGACAACTTAAAACCTCATAACAGTTCACAATTATGTCTGGTCAAATACAACCAATCATTTTAAAGCTGATGAGGAAAACACTGGCATTTATGTAAACCTTCCTACATTTTTACTAAAAATTCCAAATGTTCGAATCTTTTATATAAATTATAATAATTATAATAATAAAATTAGAGCAAATCACAAGTCATTCAAACAAGACATGTAACATTTAAAAAAAAACTCAAAACCCGTCAATACAAGTGATTTGCAGCAAGGAAATAGGTCGTTCAGACTGAGAAGTCTACCCCAGCGAATCAGAGAATTCAAAAACTGTAAGTTCTATCTTGACTAGTTTAGAAAATTAAAATAACCTGAATGATGCAATGTTTGACGAAACCTAGCTTGACCAATTTCACACATACATAAAAAATACTTTTACTAGAATGAAAGAACTGCATGTCCTGATATATCTAACTGAACCAATAGAACACACGCTTCTGCTGTGAAGTGCTCCAAAAAGTAGCTTTGTTAAGGACAGAAAAAGACATTCATTTACAATGCAGTAATAGCTAAACCATTATAATGTTGCAATATTTGTATAAAAAATTTCCTTGAGACTGTTAATGAAGTGGAAAATATAGGGATGTATAAGCTGAAGAAATATTAACATTTTTACAGACGAAACCATCCAACAATATATCTTGCTAAAACATGAGACATGCAAATAGTTTTAAATCTAAACATAAAACAAATACAGTCTGCATTCCTCCCTCGAACACTAACACAACATCCCCAGATTTACTAGCTGTTCCATCAGTAGTTTGAAACAGGTGCAAAAGCTGTGTGAGGCAGTCTCACTGAGGGGGTGAATTTACAACTGGCACTGTTATTATATGAATACTTAACACTCTTGTGCCAAATTCCTCTAGGAAGTACTTAATGCTAGGGAGAACCTGCTTGAAATATTTAAGTCAATTAACAATAATGACCATGAAGTTGGATTTTGTTATTGCAGAAGAGATAATCTCAGAACTCAAGGATCCAAATGAAATTGTGGTAGAAGATGAGAGCATGGGATCTGCTACAATGAGGGCACTAGGCCTCAATACATTGCACTTTACATAGGACAAAACCTTGTATCCTCTGAAACACTTGAAGTAATGTCATGAGAGATTTACAAGTAATAGGACTTAAGCTTTTTGTGCTGATTGCACTTGAAAGTGACAACATGTCAAGTTTCTGTCAAACTGGCTTCTGCTTGATTTAAGTATAAAATTTTTAAAACAGCAGCACATCTCGATTGAATAAATGCTGGTTTAACCTAATGGAATGTGAAAGAATTACCAAAACAGAAAATAAAGGATTCCAACTTCCCTTAACCCTACCTAGTCATATCAATTAGATCAAAGCAACGTTAGATGGTTAATCATGCTAGGTGTGTATAGTACCTGTGGGCTGAAGGAGGTATTTAAAATTGGATGGGTTAAAACAGCCTTGTAATAGAGTGATCAATAAAACAGGTGAAGATGCTATCTTAGACCATAAGATATAGAAGCAGTATTAGACCATTCGGCCCATCAAGTCTGCTCAGCCATTTGATCATGGCTGATATGTTTCACAACTCCATTGTCTTGCCTTTTCCCCATAACCTTTGATCCCCTTACATCTTCAAATATTCAGTTTTTTACAATTCAGTCGAAAGGATGCAAAATAGAGTTATGCCCCACTCCTCACAAATTCATTTCTGCTCCTCACTCATGGAGTAATTTTATGCCCCTCCCCTTATACCAATCTTGTCCGAGGTGTTTTCAATTTATGACTTTGCCATGCAACAGCCAATTATGCATCTCTTTCCATCACTCTCCATGAACTTTCCAGCAGGTCTATGCTTACTAATAAAGATTACCTTCAGGTCAGAAAATCAACATGACAACACTCATAACAGTGAGTATCTCAGGTGCAATGTGGGATGCACAAGTGAAATGTGTCAGAAAAAGGTTACAGCTTGTCTAATCTAGTCCAGGTAAATATTTAATGACATGATGTGTCTTAATGACAGTCAAACAATCTCTCTGGCATTGGAAATCATCTTTTATAATTTGTGAGTCTCATTCCATTAGATTTCAATCATTGATGAATATTTAAAATATATGGAAAATAAATAACTATTTTCCTCCCTTTCTTTTATCATTCTTACTGTGGTTCTTCCTCACCTTATTTTCTTTCGTACAAATTTGACATATAATTAAGTTTTTTAACTGATACATCCTGTGCCCCTCAATTGTTCTATGTAATCAGTTAAGAAGATACACAATCTTTTACATTGTTCACAAATGTACTATATTGGCAGTAGAATTGTTAGGCTGAAATGGCATTTTAATCAATAGCAAGTTCCAGCAAAATCCCATAGGAAGTCTCTGAGTAAGTCTAATTGTAACGAATGGCATGCACCATATGTTGACTGCACAATGCAAAGCTCCTCATCTTACGGAACAGCATACCCTCAACTTATCATAGAGAAATGGCACAAGAGAACTGTTGGTTTATCTCGAATTTTATTTACTTAGATAATTTGTAGCTCAAAAAAATCATAAACATACAAAATATATTTACATAACAAAAGTCACAGCAAATTTACTTCTATAAATTTTATCATAAATTTATTCATATTGTATTAAGTGTAATATTTTTAAAGCTTTACATGTTCAATTTGGCCTATCTGAAACCCAGTATTTTAAATTTTGTGGTTTGCTAAATTACCTCACTTTAATCATTTTTTATATTTTGCATCCTGCATGGAACTCAGTTGACCAGTTAATAATAAAAATAAAATGACCTATGTATGTAAGCTGTAATTTTTAAGAACTGTGGCTACATCAGCAAAGTTTGTAGCATGATTCTGAAATATTTCTGTTGAAGTTCTGTGCAGTGATGTGCCCTTCTGTGTGAAACCACGTTGAAAGTTCCCCTGATAACTTGAGGAATAGTACAATAAAAAGTTAGCAATGCTGTCTCACAGCGCCATGGACTCAGGTTCGATTCCAGACTTTGGTAACTGTTTGTGTGGAGTTTGCATTTTCTCCCCATGTCTATATGGGTTTCCTCCAGACACTCTGGTTTCCTCCCACAGTCCAAAGATGTGCAGGCTAGGTAGATTGGTTATGCTAAATTGCCCATTGTGTCCTGGGAAGTCCAGGCTAAGTGGATTTGACATGGGAAGTGCAGGGTTACAGGGACCTGGATTTGACATGGGAAGTGCAGGGTTACAGGGATAGGACAGTGGAGGTGGGTCTGGGTGGGATGCTCTTCGGAGGGTAAGTACGGACTCAATGGGTCAAATGGCCTACTTCCACATTGTAGGGATACTATGATGATTCTATGATAAAGTGCAGAAAGTCCTAGGCTTGATTTTTGATCCATCCAGAATTAACCGATCTCAACAAAGGCAGTGAATGGGGCAGATACAATTAGTCTTGTATACTACTAACAGCTCATGAGTTTCAATGAAACTATTAATTTTTGGTAATTTGACTACTCGGTCTTACGTGTCACTTTTACCCTAAAAATAATTCACTGAAAATAAATATTAAAAATGCCCCAATGGGCTTTCCTGGAGCTTTTACTTAATATCTTAGAAAACTATTATAACCTAAAATATTAATACCTCCAAAAGAAATGCTGTATCATTTCCCCACTACCATTATATTTGCCTCTTAGAGATCAAACTGCTTTGTTAACATATATCAGTGAGAGTTGATCTGGTCCCTTCCCTGCATTAAGGAGAACATTCAAATGAGATGTACTTATAGTTGTAAGATTAATATCACAGAATAGTTATGGTGCAGAAGGATGCCATTCAGCACATGATATCTTCACTGGTTTTATTTCTTGGTGCCAATCTCCTGCCATATTTTCCCATGTCCCGGGATACCACTTCTGTCCAAATAATCATCTAATGCTCTCTTGAATGCCTCAATTAAACCTGCCTCCACCAAACTGCCAGGCAGTGCATTCCATACCTTAACTACATCATCCTTGCTTCATTTGGACATCACTTTAAATCCATGCCCTCTCATTCTTTTTTCTTTTAAATGTAGGAACAGCTTCTCTCCATCTACTCTGTCCAACCCGCATGGTTTTGAAAACCTCTGAAACCTCCATGCAGCCATTTTCTTTCCAAAGAATACGGTGCCAAGTTCTTCAATCTGTCCTTATAACTGAAATTTCTCATTCCTGGAACTATTCTTGTAAAGTAGTAGGGAAATTTCACAATTGATTTAGTTTAGTTAGAATCACACAATCAAAATATACTCATTAATTAACGTAATTAATTTAATCTATTGTTATATTACTCAATTATAATTGACATAGAATGGTACTTTAACATAATATGACCCTGTCTAGTCTCATTTGAAAAAGCAATATAGCTCGGGATTGCAGACAGATTGAAAACAATATACTAACACTTTGAAGATATAGACAAGGTTGAAGGGCCCCTTTTTATCTCATCCCCATTTCACAATTATGAGTGTAAAGTGCCATCCACAGCAGCAGAATAGGATTCCAACAGAATCTGCAACCTCATGGCTTGGCATATCCCTCACACAAACATTACTATCAAGGGGATCAATGGAAAATTTAGGATGGCATGCCAAGAGCAGTACCAGACATACTGAAAATGAGGTGACAACCTGGTGAATCTACCAAATACTACTACTTGCATGCCAGACAGCATAAGCAGCAAGTGATAGACAGAGCTAAGCGATCCCACAACCAACAGAGCAGATCTAAGCTCTGCAGTCCTGCCTCATCCAGTCGTGAAGGGTGGTGGATAATTAAACAACTCAATGGAGGAGAAGGCTCCAGAAATATCCCCATCCATAATGTGGAAGAGCCCAACACATCAGTG